CAGTTTTCTTCGGCACTATCAAACCACCTCTGATCAAGTCTGGCAATATCTGACTGTACGACAACGGCAACTGAGTGAAATGTCTCTCTGGCTTCCTTGGTCTTCGCCGGGCGTGCTTACGCGGCTGATGACAGTATGACTGCTGACTCTGGCGGGGAACAGATATCTGATGCAAAGACCCAGTGGATCGTTGACTCTGAATAGTTGAGACATCGGGAGACTGAGTCTGAGGTATCGGGGACTCCCTTCGTTCAGGAACTTTCATTCTTAGGCTTGGCCTAGGAACGGGCAATAGCTGCGGGCAGGGAGACTTTAGGGTCACAGATTGCAAGACAGGCTCCTGACCTGATGCAACTTCAGGGGAGAGAATAGGAACATCCACATCTTCTGAAATAAGACCATTGCTCGGCATGAACTCAAATGCTCTGGAATCGATTAAATCCTGAACCTTGTGCTTAAAGGCTTTGCAATTCTCGATATTATGCCCCGGTGCCCCAGAATGGAAATCACAATGGGCATTTTCATCATAGCCTTGTGGTGGCTCGCCAGTCAACGGAGCCATAGTGCGGAGCTTAACTAATCGAAGTTGAAGCAAGAGTTGCAACAACTGAGCATAAGTCATAGGGATCTGGTTGAAGATTCTGTCGGATTGCTTCGTCCTTTGAGCATACCTCATAATCCTAGGATTGTCTCGGGAAACAGGAAGTAGTTGCTGACAAGGAAATACTGGAACCTCAGGTTGTGTAAGATATCTTTGAGGCACTTCACGCCTTGGGAGAGGTTCCATATGTAAAGGTGGAATGGCCATCTCTACTGCAGCCTCGAGCACATGATCGTCTTCCTTTCTCAACACATTCCTCATGACTTCTGTTATCAGGCCCATCTGAGTCTTCAGTTGATTATTCTCCTCTCTGAGTGCATCCTGATCCAAGCGCAGCGCTTGCATCTTTGCCACAAACTGCCCCAACTGGCTCTGAACTTCCCTTAGTTCTTCTCGAATCTGTTCCATGGTCGTCTCTGTTGGTTTCCTTTGGGTGGAATGATCTTCAATTCTGGAACAAGCCGGATGGAAAACCACATGAAGCAATTACGCCCACAAAATTAGAACACCTCTATGCAAATGAATAATGATGCAATATGCAAGACATGCAAAGAAATGCAAATGAATATGCAAATGCAACAGGGGATCAAACGTTGTTGCGTTGTTGACCGTGATGAACCAGCGCTTCGCCTTGAAACCATACAACACTAGCACAAGGGTCCCACTGTAACTGTTCATACTGACAAACGGGTAGGATGAAGGTCAAAGTTTCCTGCAAGACAACAACAAAAGGTATCTTTCCCCTTGGGTGAGCAATCTATCGGTTTAAAAGAGGGTATTCCAAAGGCTTTTCAAACAAAGTCCCATGCACTAACCCTCAAAAGTTTCCCATCATAACGACTACTCGTAAGACGGTAATCCCTTCAAAAGGATGAACACAGAGTTATGTTTTAGCAACCTTTGGAATAAGGTTCTACAAAAGGCCCTCAGAATCGCGGACTCTCAAGTTGAAGATAAGAACGCCATTACGACTACACGTAAGACATAATTATTCCAACGGAGTCTCCTCTGAGCGGTGAGATTCAATCCAACTCAACGAGTCCTAAGTCTCGCAAATCAGAAAGAATCCACCTCCTAACTTAGTGTGTATGCTCGAAAGCTCGGGTAGAAAGCTTTATCCTCACAAACCAAACCAAGTGAACCCAACAAGTTAGAAAGAAACATAACCATAAAATAAATAGCAAAACAAATAAAGCATAAATGCGACAAACAAAATAGGCGTGGCTTGCTAGTGGGTCCCCAGCAGAGTCGCCAGCTGTCGCTACTCGAAAAAAAAAGCATCGCGCAACGACGGGGAGGCGGAAAAAAAGGACAGAAGAGTCGCCACCGAACTTTATTTATCCCATGAGGGGAAAGGAAAATATCGAGAAAACCTTAGAAAGAAAAGGATAAGATGGTCTCGCAACCATGAACGGGTTCGGAAGCCGGTTATGCGAGGGGAAGGTATTAGCACCCCTCGCATCCATCGTACTCGATGGGAACCTTTTGTTTGTCGATGTGTGAATTTATTTGCTAAAATATTATGCTAAAAAGTTGTTCCGAAAGATAGAGAGAAGGGTTTAGAAACGGGGAAAGAGACGTAACGGAGGAAAGAAAAGAGAGAGAACAGACTCGGTAGGACTTCGCGGTCCTAGGCCTACGTATTCTCAACTGATATGAGAAAGTCAGAGTCGACGTAGTTCGGGGAACTACAGATATAGGGGGGAATGTGCTCGGCAAGGATTGTGGCCCTTGTGCCTACGTATCTTTACTTGAAGAAGTAAAGAATCAGAGCAGCCGTAGTTCGGCCTACGGTGTGTTGATGTTTTTTTTTTATGGATGATGCTATCGTGCGCATTCTAGCAGTTAGGTGTTTTGCTGCTCGCTCGTTGGAGACTTAGGCGTTACCTGTTTGCGGTAGAACGGACGTAACATATCCTTTTGAAAGATTGATTAGTTTTCGCCACGCGGGGCAAGAAGTCACGTTTGATTGGTTGAGATTGTTTTTTAGGGGGCGAGACAGATCCTCGGATAGTAACCCCTACGGGTAGTACCCAATTCATTGTCTCAAAGTTTTTGTTATAAAAGGGTGTGGCGAACGAGGCGTCTTCGTATTGAAAGACGAGCGTCGAAACCACCCTCACTACAGTGGGCATCCCTACGCTCGGAGAAGAAGAGGTCTACACACAATCCTCTCTCTTTAATTCAATGCAAAGAGAACTTCGTTCTCTTATTAAAGATGTTTTTGGTTTTGAATGGTAAGTGCTTTGCGACAGAGAACCCTACGGTAAACGTCAGCACTCGGGATGGGAGAAGGCCTACGCCTAACCACTCCACGACCATTCAAGTTTTTGTTATGAAAAGATTTGAAAATGCACTCGGTACAGGACCGAGGTTTTAGGTGAGAAGGGTTACGGAATGAAGTTGTGAAAGCGAGAGGTGATGGAAGAAGTCGCGTCTTCGTATTGAAAGACGAGTGTCGAGACCACCCTCACTACAGTGGGCATCCCATCATTCAGAGAGGAAGAGGTCTACACCTAATCCCCTCTTTTTAATTCAATGCAAAGAGAACTTCGTTCATTATTGAAAGTGTGCTCGGTACGGGACCGAGGTTTTAGGAGGGAATGTTGGAAGCGTCTTTGTGTTGACAGATGAGCATCGAGACCACCCTCACTACAGTGGGCATCCCTACGCTCAAAGAAAAAGGGGTCTACACCCAATCCTCTTTTTAGCTCAACACAAAGAAAAGGTTTTAAGGAGACGAGATTTGAAAATGGACGGGAAGCGTCTTCGTATTGAAAGACGAGCGTCGGAACCACCCTCACTACAGTGGGCATCCCGACACTCGGAGAGGAAGAAAGTCTACACTTAATCCCCTCTTTTAATTCAATACAAAGATAATTTGATTTTGAAAATTGTTTGACAAAGTTTTGAATCGAGTCGGGACAAGTAACGCGAGGAGAGAAAAGAGGTGGTCTCAGATCCGACGATACTTATCAATATATTGATTAGAAATCGATTTATGGAACTTTCGTCATCGACCAAAAAGATAAAAAGGGGACAAAACGTCCAATAACAAATGCGAAATGGACTTAACTTCTAAAATGGAAAGAGATTTGTAACTCTAAACATGAAACTATATTATAAACTTATAAAAAAAAACTTCTAAATAAATTACAAACAAAGTATATTATAAATTTACTAACTATTTAAAAATCTAATATAATACAATTTTTTTAGAAAAAACTAGCTGGAATATAAATGTAAAAAAAAACCTGTTTAGAAGAATGTTATGTAAATTAATTAAAAAAACTAACACACTGATTCTAACATATATTAACAACTATTTTTTAAAAAGAAAAAGTATTAACAAATTAATTACAACAAAATTAAAAGAGAATCTAACCCAAATTTTAAGAATCAATCCCTAAGTCTGAACTGAATGATTGCAAGCAGACCACTGTTTCCTCTTCTAAACCCAATCCATCAAAATCGACGCTCTCCAGAAGCAAAACGCAACGAAAAAGAAAAATCACTCAGAAATCAACCCTCTTTCACCTCGAGCTCGGTTCGATTCGAGCCTCACCACGATACGAGCTCGCCTTCGTGAATCTCTCGGTTCTTATCTTCTCTGCTTTAAATTTTGTTCGGATTCTGATTTTGGTTTGTTGTTTATTGACATTGAAGAAGGAGGCCAGATGGTTTGAAGAAAAGAATATTGGGTTATTCTGGGGATTTTTGTGAAGGTATGAAGATGGGATGGTGTAGTGAGATGGTAGCTGACGGTTGCTGTTCAGTTCGAATAACGATAGAGTCGTATCTTCATCGTTCCTTAATCTCGCCTACCATCTGTTTGATGAAAGTTTTTGTTCACAGTTGAGGTTGATGGATGAGAGTAAAAGGATGTTGGTTTGAAGATTTGGAACAGGGAGAGCATGTCGTTTGGGTTGCTGCGGGTTTATGGTGTGATTCTGGTAAATGATGAAGCAAGGAAAGTTATTATTGTTGACTGGTATGAGAAGTGGATGGAGGTTGAGGATGTGTTCGATGATGATTTCTAGGTTGCTCAGCTTGCAAATTTAGTTGCAGTTTGGTAGTTTTGAAAGGTTGAGAAGGGTGAAGATGGATGAGGGAGCTGGGCGGCTGGCATTGTGGCTAGGGCTTGGAGGCTCAATCTCAGATTAGGTTTTTTTTTGCTGTCATCTCTCATATGGTTTTATATGGAGAGAGTATCTGGAGGATTGAGGTGAGGTTTTTTCTCCTCTTTTGTCTGTAGTGAGGTAAAGACCTCCATTGGTTTTCACTGCAGTAACTGCACCTTCTTTACTTTTACTGTGGTAATTGACTTGTAACTATATTTAAAAAATGATGTAGGGGTTTTAACTATTTCCTTTTCAATTCAATAGGGAAGAAGAGTGTGCTAGTGATGGATTTCATTAGGCAATGGCGGAAGCTTCTTTCTAAATACATGCTTCCTGCAGCGTTCGAAAATACTGTCATAGATCAAATCAAACTGCACTCCTGCTCTCTCGCGGTTAATAATGAATAATACATGATCACCCTCCACATATTTGTAGTACCAGATGCCAGGTTGCATTGGTTGGCAATCTGAATCTTTTCCACGAAACGGTTGGGGTGCTCAAATGGGGAATCGAGGACGAGTCATCGATATTGTGTTTAGTGCTCCATCATTGTCTTGCCAGTCCTCATCCCTGTATCCTTTATAAGGGGGAGAAACATCTGAAGGATGAGTCCACTGGCTCATTTGCAATACTCTTATGAAAAGCAACGGGTGAACACCGAGTATGCTTGAAGGAGCCGTTACGCCCATGATCTTCCTTGTCTGCTTGGTCGCGTAACTAAAGTAGTATGTGTTTGGGAATGTTTGCAGGCGGTAGTTGATTTTTATAGACCCTTGAATTGAAAGATCAGGAAGGATCCAATCCTCTGATGTAAATGGACCTGCATTCCCCAATAGGCAATCAACAAGACCCCATACACCAATCTTTCTCCATGACATGTTGAAATGATCAAACCCAAAATTGTAGTAGTTTTTCAACCAGGCAATGTCCAACCAGTCGTATAGTATCACTCCAATTCGGCAAAGCTGTAGCAGGCAAATAGGTTTCAATGTTTTCCCATCTTCCGGCTGAATGCCATCAAAGTAGGTTCTTGTGGTCTCATTAAATGCTCCAGATAAGGATGTGATGCTTATCACCCAGTTTTCTGAAGTGTTTTCATACCCCTTGAATGCCTTATCAGCAAGCATTCGTTGCAAAACACGAACAACCTGTGCTCCAGCAGAATGACTCACAAAATGAAGAGGGTGATCCTCATCCCACTCAGAATAATGCCCTTGTTCATAGATCCTTATTTTGCAAATCAGTTTCTTCTATATTCCATGGCAAAAGTGAAAGGCAGCGAACCAACCCGGCAAAAGTATCCTTTAGTTTTTCTTTGTCCTGTAAATGGTACCGGTTGGTGTAGTACATTGGCACAGGATTTGGTCTGGTGTGGGGATGGGTGCAGCAGGCTGGTTTTTTGTTAGTAAGTTTGTGTATTCATATGTATTTATTCATGAACAATAATTCCACAACAGGAGAAGAACGAGAGTACAATCTGAACATCAAAACATTGAATCTGATTTGGAAGGCAATCTCTTGAAGAAATTAACTGGTACTGATGGCATTTTGCTCCGAAACCGAGGATGACGAAGCATGAAGATGCCGACTATAATTGTTATGACTTGGAATGGAGTAATGTAAATGAACACAGCCCAGATCAGTGAGAAGATGATGAAGATAGATGTAGCCCTTGAGTCTCTCCAACTTAGTATAGCTTGAGCTCTTTCTCCTTAAGTTGCTAAATCTCCAACCACAGTCTGTACTCTACCTGCCACACTTCTCAATCTGTCATACCTCATTCTCACAATATCTGAAGGTCTTGTTGTTGGGAAAGTGTCAAATTCCTCATCCAATTCATCTGGATGAACAGCTTCTGCTTGCGAAAGCCTGGCATCCATGCAAACTTGTATAATCAACATGACACCCGTCTTCGAAAGCATAGGCTTCAAACATTGCAGAGGCCAGAACTCTCAGCCTTGATGCAATTTCTGATATAGGCTTCGGTTTGAAGGTAATAATGCCCCTAGAAATGTTGTGACATTGTGCCACCACAGTTGGATCATCATTCAAAAACCGATACACATGATTACCATCTTCAAATAGATTCTCGTCAAGAACATGTCGAAAAAAGAGTTTGCTGGCAAGCTTCCTAGCAAATTCAACATCCTCTGGCTTTTCCAAATATTGATCCTCTGATAAGAAGTCTAAAGCATCTGATCCCAGAAAATAGTTGGTAAACCTGCGCATCTTGTACAATCTGTCCTTCACAGTAATAGATTCTTTCATGTTATTGCAAACCTCAGAAATCTGCAATGTTCTCACAAATCTTTTTGAAAAGCCTAAGTCATTTAGTGATTGTAGCTCCAAACTCTTTGCAAGCTGACGGCCAGCAGTTAGAACCATGTTGCTGTTTGATTGCAAGTCATGCTGAGAAACCCCGTCTGACCCACTTTCAGAAATTGTACTTTGGCATTTTTGAGCTACTTGAACTAATTGGTTGACCTGTGGGGCGACTAACTTTCGAGGAAGAAGTTCTTCATGGCGCCTTACACAGAAATCCCAAGAAAATATCTTTAGGTCTCGAGTAAATACGATACGAAGTTGACCTTCACGAACAACACGAAGTTGCTCGTACACACACTCTTGAACTGCTTTTGTATATTCTAACATCATCAAACCAGACGCCAATCTTATTTTCCGTGGCAAGTCCAGAAACAACAGTTCATCGATCACACCACCGTCAAATTTTACAACGTTAAGTCTGGGTAGTATATCAAAAGTTGCCTCAAATCCCCTTCTCCCAGATTTAGCTCCGCATATGTCACAGTGCCAAGCATGTGTAGTTGCTTGCGGTAAAACACCAGCTGTATGGTGTCCAGCATTACTATACAATGCCAAGCACCAGCGTTGCTTTGCACGGGGAGAGTAATATTCAGCCACAAATTTTCTCCAATATGCAATACTATTATCACTTGGTCGCTGTCTTTGATGATAGAGATACTGCATCAATCGACGGGCACATACGCCTCCAACACCACCATCATATGGACGCTTCACACCAGCCGAGGGCTGCATCATTTGCTGTTGTATTTGCTGCCTCTAAATATAGCTTGCAGCCTCACCACTGCCCTCAATGCCCTCAAAGCTCTTCTAGCCAAGAAGGCTCGAAACAAAGCCTGAATTCGAATAGCCGCCCATTCCTGTCTGATGAGGTTAAAATCCTTAGGTTGAGCTCGAACCAACACAACAACCGCAGCTGCAGTAAGCGAAGAATCACACACGGAAGCGGTACTACCACCACCACTCTTCTTCATACTTGAACAAGAAGAAGATCCTTCTGAAGATGACTTCCACAGCTTCCATTTCTTCTTAGTAGGACCACTCTTGTTATCACCATTAATCTTCTTCTCTTGATCGGTTGTTGTTTGTAGTTGAAGATGAGATTTTTTTTATGAGAAAGAAGTGATTTGAACCATTTTCCTGAGGCACCCATTGGAGAGAAGAAACCGTATTTGGAGAGAAAGTAAAACAGAGATAGAAAGAGAGTTTTTTTTTGTTCATCTTTCTGTTTCATTTTGCTGATGTTATACTCTGGTTCTGTCATGAATTACATGGTGTAGTCATTGTTGCTTATGCTGTTGGAAGTGTACAACAATCCACAGATCCGTATCTTGGGGTTGCAAAATGTTCTTAAATACAGGTTTTGTGCAGGTCACATAGCAGTAGGAGTTTTTTTTTGGAGATGCGGAGGGAAATTTGTAGCAGGGTGTTATCTTGCGTACTGATACGGCTGGTGCGGTTTCATGCCGTGATGTTGTATGGTTTGATTGCTTTTATTTTTTGCTTTGTGTTGCAACAGGTCTGTAGCCAACATGGCATGAAGAAAGGTCTTGTAGCAGCTGTGCAATCTTGTTTGCTTGTGGCATGGCTTGTAAGTTGGCATGAGGATAATGGTTAGCCTTAAACTGTACTACATCGTTGCGGTACGAAACGCGAGGTCGGTTACTATCATTTGATTAGTCTTTCCTTTTTCTGAATTTGTGTCTTCCTCTCGTGTTGCATCATCATTTTGGATTCATTTTGTTTGCATCTTGTGACGTTTCTGTGCTTTGCAATTCATTTGCTGCAGTTTTGTTCTCGTTGCGACGTGTATTCGTCTTCAGCATGTGCACACCGCCTGCATATTTTGCTCATGTGGTATTCCTCCTAAAGTGATACATTCTTGAGTTGAAGAGTTGAAATAGTGTGAGATGGGATTATGAAAAGGACCTGGTACTTCTACTTGTGTAACATCACTTGATGTACTGATGCTTAAACAATTTTGAAACAAGTAGCAAAACAAACAAACACTGAAATTACTTTGGATTTCATCAATGAGGGAATTAGGCTCATTACGTCTATTGGCAAGAGCATAAATGGCAAGAGGATAAAGCTTTGATAATAGTAGCGTGTGGCCGTGTAGTTTGACCATATGGATTTGACTTTTCTTTCTTCTCTCTTTTTTTTATTGTAAATATATGGGCTCCGCTTGTAGTTTGAGAAAAACACATTGGCTTGTAATTTATTTGGATATGTTCGCATTTTATTGAACTTCTGAAATGAAATGGGCTTTCGACTATATTTTAACCTTCTCCACAATAGTCTTTGAATGGGCTTCTCGCGAGAACAACCAATGAGAATGTGTTCTAAATCTTTGATCCAATGTATTTTTATAATAATTTTTTTTTACACAAAAAACTTTGGACTTGAGACATCAAACAAGAGGCATTGACTAAGACTTTCCAGATTTTACTTTGCACAAAACTTTGTCTATAGAAGCAACTGGATCCAAATGGTTATACACTTTGACACCAGTTTTACACCTCACTCATAAACAAAACTTGGAAATCGCCATAAGATCATGATAACCAAACTCAAAGTTCTTGCCTTAAAATGATGAAAACTTGACATCCCGCGAGAACCAAACAAAAAAATTATTAACTTGAAATAATTGCCACTTGAGTTAACCTTGAGAAATAGAATTGACCATGAATTAATCTTGAATTATCCTAAATTGGGAACGGACTAGAGCCTTGAATTAATAAATCAATCCGAATTTGGCCATTTGAATATCAACAAACCAAAGTCTCTAATAGGAAACTCCTTGAGCCAGAACAGGCCTTAAAATCAGAGAACCACGATTAAACTTTAATGGAAGAATAAACTTGATCCTGTTGATTATCGACAACAAAACATTTGATTAACCACAGTCCTGACAACTGACCCACATACAGATGATTTGGGGTACAGAAACCCTGATTGAAAACTCATGAAACAATCTCTGGACTGACTAACCAAAAAAAAAGCCACTGAATAATACTCATCACTTGCCCGAGTCACCTTACACAACCCTGAACCACAAGCAAAGATAGCCTCCTCCTTTTTCCTAGATATAGTTAGTGAATGGATGCACAGGTGAAGGTATATACTGGTA